TCTAACTCTCCATTGAGCATAGGGAAAAATATCCAAACGAGGAGCAATATTAATAGCATATCCTAAGCAAGATGAATCATACATATCCATAAAAATGAAATGCAAGAAGCACAATGTAATTAAAATTAGATTAGCACAAATACAATAACTTGGATCTTTAACTCAAGGCGGTTAGTCCTTAAATCAAAGAGCACCAAGCTCTGATACTAATTGTTAGACCCTAGAGGGGGGGGGATTAGGGTCTTATGCTAATCTAATTCTAATTAAAAGCTAATTAAAATTATGTTGATCAATTTGATCTTGCAAGAAGAAATATGATATGGATATGAACAATAAAGATGAAACAATAATGATGAATAAAATATACACTAAGCAAAACACAAACACACGATATGTTTACGAGGTTCGGTCACCATGACCTACGTCCCCGCTCCTCACCTCGAGGAGATATCCACTATCACAATCCGGTTTGGAAGCCGGAACTTCTACACACTCGGTTTACAAGATCACCGAAAACTTTTCATTACAACTTCGGTTATGCAATCACACTTTACACACTAAGTGTAGGAACCTACCCCGTGTCCTCCTCCTCAAGTGCTCGATTACAACCTCTCCCTAGGTTCGTCAATCGACGCCACTCCTATTGGATTTGACCCCGTGTCTCGCCTCACACTTCTCTCGGTGTACAAGTGTATTACAAGTGATTCTCACAAACAAAAGTTAAATACAATGATTTGTTCTCAATTAACAAGTGAGAACACAATGAAGCTCACACTCACTAAATCCCACACCACAACCCACAATATAATATGAGAATATAAAGCTCAATAAGTGTGTGTGATAATAGTGAATGAAACTCAATAAATATAACTCAATGAATATAGCTTAATCAATTGAAAGTGAAATAACAAGCTATATAAGAATGGGTTTAGAAAACTTCTCAATGAATAAGAAGAGCTGAGGAAATGATGATCTCAATAAGATTTGAAAGCCTCTTCTTGTTGTAGAAAAACTTCTCTTGAAAACTGATTAACGAAACCAACTCTTAAACAGCTCTTAAACGAGATTAACAACTTGTTAAATAGCAAACTTGGATTTCTTCAATCTTAAGAAGAAGAACAGTAATGGGGTTTATATAACACCCCAATACAACAGCTAGAAAAGAGTAAAAGACCAAAAAATCCATTTTAAAAAATTTAGCCGTTAGGCTCATTTGTC